TGAGCTCCTTATCTTCTATTTTAATTTCAGTAACATTTAGAATTTTGATTGTTATGATTGTTTAAACTTTCATAACTATTGCCTTATCTAGTAAGCTGTATATAGAAAGATTGTTTTCAGGTGTTGTTTGAATTGATATAATATTTTGCAAAGAATATTATATTTGCTTAGCTTGTTCTATTATGTTCAAGTATTTATCCTCTAAAAATGGAGCTAGAAGATTTTCTTCTTTTCCTTGTTCTTTGATCTATAGATAAAGAATATGTTATTTAAGAATGTTGACTTTGATAAAGATAATATGATTGATATTTAGAATTTTAGCAATGATGTTGTCTATAATCAAGTATTGAGTTGAACCTGAGGTAAGATTTATAATAACTTCTTGAGTTGAAGTAATATTAAGAAGAGTTTGTATTGTTTATAGTTTTTATTGTTGATCATATTTATTTAATAATTGAGCTAAGATCTCTATAATATATGTTTCTTTTTTCTTGGTGATCTGTAAAAGTTTGTATTTCCTTATAGACATGTTAATATTATAATAGAGAATAAGTTGACTATATTTGATATTGTTGTGTTTTATTGATAATTGTTACTATATTTTCTTAAACATGTGTTGTAGATTTGTTTATTTCTTATTATTATTTTGGTAATATAGAAAAACCTTATTATTTGTTATGATATGTTGATAATATTTATTTCACATGTATGTTGTGATATTATTGTTAATATTGTTAATTAGTCAATAATAAATACATGAGGTTAGGAGATTGTTGATAATTGATTTGTATAAACATGTAAAAAGTGTATTAATGTTATTTATTTGATATATCTTTTGAACTTTGTTGTAAAAAATATATGTATCTATATTTGCATAATGTAATATTATTGAAATGCTGTTGTTATAATGTATGTGCTTTTTTACTGTATAGTTAATGAAGCTTGAATGTCTATCAAGGTTTTATAAATATTTGAATTTAAATCAATTTATCAGTTTGAGTTATTACTTGTGAAGTTTTTTTTGGTGTCTAGAAAGATGTTAACCTATACTGACCTGGCTAGAAGCTTTGTAAGATTACTCAATTCAGTCTTTTTTATTGTTTTTCTCTTTCTAAAAGAAAAAATTTATATAATAAAAGTTAGTAATTTATAAAACTTATCTCTTCTATATTCTGTAAAGGATTCTTGAACTTGTTTTTATAAGTTGCTTAATTGTAAAGGTGGTTTCTCTTGTTTTTTGATTGGTTTCTCTTTTTCTCAAAAAATTATAAAAAAAGGAAATTTTCAGAAAAATTGGGAATCAGCCAAAAGATTTTTTTTTTTTAATATTATATTATTATACTGTATATCTTTTTTTTTTATTTTTTGATATTATAATTATTTTTTTTATAAATTTACTTAATTAAAATTAATTTTATTATATGTATCTTTTTTTATTATAAATAATATTATTGAAATATATAATTGCAATCAATAAAAGTTTGTTTATATTTCAAAAACTAATATATTTTACTATATATTAATCAATTATCTTTAATAAAAATTATATTACATAAAAATTTAAGATTAAATTAAATAAAATTTTTCAAAAATTATAAAAATTTGAGATTAAATTAAATAAAATTTAAATCAAAAATTAAAACTCTAAGAAACACAAATAATTAGTAAAAAAAAATAAATAAATAAATTTTTTTATCATAAAAAGTCTTTTTAATAATTATTTTAAAGATAATAAGATAAGATTTTTAAGCTGATAAACTTTTTCTACTAATTCTCTGTTCACACACAAAAAAAGATATTTGCAAGAAGTTTTTTGCTTCTTTGCTAAAAAGTCTTTAATACTTTTCTTAAAATTCCTTGAAAAGTGACTTTGAATGTCATCTCTATCCCCTCTTACTTGTTTATAATCCTCTTTGATCAAAAACTTGACTTCTGATAACCAAAAACAAATCAAGTAACATCTTTAATACCAATAGCAAGAAAGTTTTCAAAGGAAAAAGAATCAATAGTGAAGTACATGAAGGTCTTTTTCATCTTTGAAATAAGAGATATATAGAGGTTTTTAATAATAGAAGGACTTATTTTTTCTCCTTCTGATCACTTGTGGGTCTTTTAGAACTATTATTTTTATAGTTTTCTAGGGAATTTTGCTTACCTCAGTTTGACCCTGAATTTTGAGTAGCACAAATCCTCACTAAAGGTAATTGGCTGACACAAAACATGTTGGTTTCAGGAATAATAAATAAACTCCTATTGGTCACAATCATATATTCATATTATATTATAGATAATATAGAAAAGAAAGTTTTAGAAGAAGTTCTTCTTCAACTGTATATATTTGATCCCAGGAAATAATTATGATATCAAAAGGTGAGATGGATCTGCACAAAGAAATTCTATTTTTTTTCTAAGTTTCTTAAGTGATAAAAAGACTTCTTAAGGTGAAAGCTGAGGTCTTTTAGTTTCTCTTGAACTATTCCAATCTGATGCATGTTTAAATAAAGACTTATCTGATATCACAGGTAGTGACAAAGAAGACTTCTTCCATGATCCAAATAAAGCAAAGAAGAATATTCTAATCAGACAAAACTTCTTTTGAGAAGAGACTGTGAAATGGAAAAGAATTTTTTGAAGAGCTTTGAATTGTTTTTTATTTTTCCCCTTCTCTAGTTTAACTTCAATAATTCCATATTTTTTGGAATAATTGATAGTAACAAACTGTTGACAATGACTCTAGTTAATTTAGAGGTACTATGTCAAGCTACTAGGAGAGCATAATATTGTTTCCTAAATCTGACTTAGAGTACCTAATTGAGACTTGGTTTTGTTTAGTCCAAACTAGCTTAGTGGATATCTCATATTTTTTAAGTAGTGTAATCCTTCAACTAATAATGTACAAAGATGAATTAGTCATTACATGAGAAGATCTGTGGATTATTTTGATATTTTTTCAAGTATATTAATAAAGATAAACCATTTCAATATAATTGCGGATTAAAAAAATATATATATTTTTTTTTCAAGTTGATTATTAGAAGTCAAATTTGTAAACAAGACGAAAAAATGTGTGATCCTTGAAGATACTTTTAAAGAAAGTATTAATATTTTATTAATCAAAAAGACAAAAAAAAATAAAAAATAAAAAATTCAAGATTTTACATTAATTATATAAAAAAATCATCGGTTTTGTGTTGATATTTGTATATTCACGTGATTCCTGCGAATTACAGTATATAAACCCGAAACTTTTCAATGCAGCATTTTTTACTATTCCGACAAAATGGCGGGAGACGACCATAATAGTGAAGTATCGTTGAACTTATAGTTCCATTCAATTATCCTTCATAGTTTTAATGTTGTACTAAAATTAAGCAGCTTTGGTAAAGGACCCAGCAATCGAACGCTGGAATAATATGCGTACGAACACGAAAGATCATTTTAGGTTCAATGGTAGAAACACCCGTTTAGGTTTAATATATGTTTTACTTGTTCCCGTCGGTTGTTATCTTTTGTCATTTGCCAATGACGTTAGTATATATAATATATATCTTGATTAGATTAACCTCTGTATCGATTACTTTAAATTAATGATCAACTCACTTTTTAAAGGACAAATGGGTATTTACCGCTAGAACCAGAGGCTCTACTACACTTGAGGACTACAAGAAAAAGCCAGTGAAAAATGAATGATCATATAATCTTTGCAAGATTAAATAGAACACGCATAATACAATGCATTCGAGTGGTTCCAGGTATTTTTGCCTGTGACCAAAGAAAGTTGAAGTTCGTATGAAATTTTTGGCTAGCAAGATAACAACACAACGCAATAAATTAAAGAAAGAAAACAGTAATTTTGATTTTAATAGTGAAGGGCGAAAGTGCTGCTACAAAATCAGATTAGTGAAAGTAAATCTGATATGCTTGAATTTTTCGTATGAGATGAAATTTTATCTTCTTCTATCTCTAAAGTTTCCTCTGCCATCCTTTCGATCATCTCTTCTATCCCTCTCTCTATCGTTCCTTGGTCCACCATTTCTATCTCTATCACGATCCCTGTCCCTGTCATTCCCAATTGCACGATAATTTCTAACTCTATCACGGTCTCTGTTTCTCTCCCTTAGAATGCTACCTCGCCTTTCAATTGACCTAGGTGGCGCACCATAACAAATGGCCACATCCAGAAAATCTCCGATAACGAATCTTACATCATCAAGGTTCGTGCTGTCATCGGTGGATGAGTTTAAGTTGTGTACTGTACCCAATTCTTTAAATACATATTTTCCACGTAAATTATCAACATAAACCAATTTAAATGATAGTCGTGCATTTGGTTGGTTGGCCTCAGCATTCACTTCTCTGAAGAGGTTTGCGATTTCTTTCAATGTGGCGTCCTTCCTAAAATACCATCCGACAATGATTTAACCGGATAGGATAATGAGTTCATAATATATATATGAGATAGAGACAACTTTACCAAGTGTATATTTGCACTTCATTTTCGGTCGGGAGATGTTCAGGTGTATAATCTTCAGGGCTATTATATATATATATATAAAAGAAAAAAGAAATGTAGAAAGATCAATATTATAATAAAAATTTTTGCTAACACGATCGTCAAAGGAGTCGCACCTACCGATGGTGATAAACTTGTCGCCAAAACATTCGTAACAAAAACGGGACCGTCTGAAATCAGTCAAAAATTGTGAATTGGTAAAGCTGCGTCTTAATAAAATTGAGAAATTTTAGTTGTATTAACCTTTTCACGATCAACGACTAGTTTATTTTTACCACTAGCAGTTATCGTCGTAGAATTATTCTGTGCTTCGGCCGACATCGTTTCGTAAAGAGTTCAAATATAATTTGTTCGCCACCGCTTGCTTTGGAAGAAAGAAGAACGCGGTTTTAAGCATGCCCTTAAATTTAGTTTGATTAGGTAAGCAATTCATTAATAATGTGATTGGCTCTTTTATCTATTACGTACGTATGTACTCTCTTTCGGAATGTCAGTAGTAGACACTGCAAATTTAATTAACCGCATTGCTGCTATTCAGTCTTCGAGCAACTTTCACACTAGCAGCAGTGTTAATGTTCTTTCGCGTCGTCCCTCGATCTATGGTACAGGCGAGGATCGGATCGTCTTGGACATTGGAAGTCTGTACATAAAGGCTGGTTTCAGTGGGGAGTCCAGACCGAGGCACATTGTGCCGGTGTACGCTGGCAACATGAAAACACATTGGGATCCAGACTTCAACGGAAGCGGTGGCGTAGTAAAAGTGTGCGGCGAAGGCTGTAGGGTTATCGGTGAGGTAGGATGAACATTCAAGGTTTCTAATATTTCCGTAGCAAAATCTTTTTATTCTCTAAAGGTCCAAATTGACATATCGCAGTTTGCCGAATTGTTTGATCTAGAAATTGGAAAATATCCCGATGGCCTAGATGCTTTATACGATCGGTTAGCTCATTATCTTAGGGAGATTTATTTTAGGTATATATGACGAATCCATCGTTAAGTCTTTATAATTTGGATTGATTCGAGTGTGCTTTGATCACTTTATTTAGGTATCTATTAACGGATCCAAAGCAACGCAAGGTTGTATTATGCGAGTCGCCGATGATGCCCTTAACATTGAAGCAGTTGATTGCCAAAGTCCTGTTTGAAAATCTTCAGGTGCATAGGAATTTCGAGCTATCATTCATACAGCTTAGAAAGATGATTCAAGTGAAAATTTGTTATTTAGGTTCCATCAATTTCTTTCGCGCCATCTCACATGTTAGCATTATTAACGACTGGTTGTACAACTGGTCTGGTGATTGATGTTGGACATCTGGAGACCACCGTATTGCCGGTACGATAAATTTTGATAAAATTCCACATAAATTTTCCTCTTTCACTAACTTTGCAATCGTCTAGACCTTTTCTGCTCGTCCTTTGACTTCCTTTACCCGCACTACTCCTTTGGCGGGTCGTGCATTGACTCAAAGGCTCAAAGATTTGATTACAACATACGGAAATATGATCATACCACCATCGACAAATCAGGTGCCCGTTCATGCCAAATACTTAACACCCGCGGTGTTAGAAGACATTAAAGCACGATTTATTTTTGTGAGCCCTATAATGGTCTCCGCAGCTTCAAGGGGAATTGCGGAAAAAACTTCAGTGGATGACATGGAGGAAAAATATTCTTCAGTCAGTTCTGCAACGGATATACACTATCCTATTACCATAAGTAAAGTTGGGCGAGAACGTCAGATGGGTACCTTAATTATACCCGGTTGGATCAGAGAACGATGCGCTGAGGTGCTTTTCGAAGGAGACGAGGATGAATCTAGCGTGGTTGGATGCGCACTGGAATGTTTATTAAAGGTCATCCAGAATCTTCTCTCTTCATGCATGTTTCATACCTATCATTATTATTAAATTAGGAAAGTCAATTTATAATTTAGACGCCTATAAATCTTCGTCAACCGCTCACATCATCGATTCTCCTTATTGGAGGTACCACCTTACTTCCAAATTTCCAATCGAGATTTGCACAAGAGCTTTTGCGAGCTTTACATACGGATAAGAGATTTTCATCATTGAGTGGTCTTAGACATCACATCAGTTTCTTGGAAGAAAAAGGAAGCGGCAAAATGTTTGTGGCGAACTGTAGGGCTTGGGTCGGAGGTGAGTTTATTATGCCGGTTGTTATAGCCTTAATCTGATTAGGCGATTCATCGCATTCCTCTGAACTAATTCATTCATTCATATTGATTGTTTATGACAGGATCCCTTATTGGGTCACTCAAATCTACCGTTGTGGAAATATCTAGAGAAAAATATACCGGCCAAGTTCCTGATTGGACCACTTCGAACTTGACAACAGCCTGAGTTAACAGTTATCCGTGTCAAATTTTCTGTTAGTAGGACTTCTTGGCTCCTGAGGATGCACATTTCAGATCACCAATCAACTAAAATGATATTATTTCTTTATTATTATATTACTTTGTAATGATAATTTCTTTTATAATGAACTTTTCCTTGCGCAGGAATCATCGTATTTTAGCATAATCAATCACCATTCCCTTTTTTGAATTCTATTTTATTATTATTATTCTTTTTTTTATGATCGATCCATTTGCATGTGTCATAAAAGTTAACTTAATTATAACGACCAATATCGTATGATATATGAAATTCTGTCATATCTCAAACTGCTGTATTTACGAGAGAAGAAATTGTACAATAATTATTTTCGTTTGCAAAGGCTATTATTGGTTGAAAGAACAAAACGCACTCGAATCGATTAAACGATGTTGTCATATAACGTGCGATGATTTTTTTGTGATTAATGGTTAGTTTCAAAATTAGTTTATCAGGTAGGTCGGATGATCTTAAGAATTCAATATCATGTCAACATCCATGTCTACTCCTATTTCTGAGCTTGAATTGCTGTCTCTCCTTTGCTTTTGGCGAATCCGGGGTTCGGAGTTGTCGTTATCTTCTTGCTTCACTTTTACATCCGAACTATTTTCGTCTTTGCTGTGATCGTGTTCACAATGTTCGATCAGATAGCGCCCTAAGAATTCGCAAGGATTTTGTGGTCTTTTATGGGTATCAAAATGGGCACGTGTCAACATGGAATTTTTTAACCGAAAAAAAAAAAAGGGGGGGGGGGGATAATTAGGAAACACATTATTTGGCGTATAACCGTATAATATCACACCAGCGTAAATAAAATCACCGTTCTTTGACCATTCTCTTCATCCCAGCAAGCAAACTTGGCACGATGGTCTTATTAAAATAATCCCTGACGGCAGTGGAATTTTGTGGATGGCGCATATTCAACCTCTGTATTTTATTTCGTTCTTCGTCGAATACTTCTCCGAATTGGTCCTCAAATTTAAAAGGTGACGGTTGGTCTTCGGAGGGGGTCCCACCGGTCACGTCCACTTCGCCTTCTTCACGCTTCGCAGGAGACTGGCAGACAGGATTGAGAAGATCCTGTGAAATATGTTACAACATGTGTCTATACTTTCCTTGGAGATCCTGATCTCAACAAGAAAGACTAAGAAGGCACATACTTGAATACTTCGCACCGTACTTGTAGCACCGCGGTTCTCACATTCGTTATTACTCGTCTCCGCTGGAGAAGAGTCGGCAAAAAATGTATTGTCGTAGTCAGCAGGCTTGTACATAGTAGTGGTGATATTGTAGACAAGTCTCTATCTGATTTCGAAACGTGCGCTCTTTTTTTTTTTTTGTATATACTGTATCTGCCTAAACATGTTAAGGCGGTTTTATAAGCACGTGATTTTGTGTCGAAGATTGTAGTTTTTTTTCCTTATAATTTAAATAACATACAGTACCTCTTGCTTTCGTTGTTTAGCGGTAATGTGGTAGTAAAACGCGGAAACGGTTATCACTGATTGTGCTGATCGCGGATTGTTGATCACAGAAATGAAGTTTATGTAACTTGTAAGGTACACTGAAAAAAAACCATTGTTCAGTTTCTAATAGTATTATCACGTAAATCCACCCCAATTTTAATTCATTAACCAATCGAAGGATTTCATTACGCGAATGAGGAAATTTGCATAAATTCAGTTTCGTAACACAGATCATAAAAATTTTTTTACCAAGAGATCAAAGTTTTTGATACGGGGCACACATGTTCTCCATTCGACCTTCCATGATGCCATTACGGCTCTGCAAGGCTGGTACGCTAAAAGGTTCCAGAAAACTTCCCGTTTTAATACGTAATCGATATTGTTACACTGCAAGTAAAAAACCTTTCAATTGTCTAACGGTAATTCCGAGTAATAGCTATTCCACTTCAAAAAACGATAAAACCTCAGGTGCGCCCGAGCAAGCAACCAATTCTAATCCTGAGGCAAAGGGGGACACCAGTGGACCCGAAAATTCATCGTCAAAAAAAAAGATGCACGATGAGCCCGCATCCTCACTTATTTCCAGGCCTACGATAATATCGCAGTTGAAACGGGGCGGAGCACAACTTTTTGTTCGGAGAATGCGTGACCTTACCAGTGTCTTAAAGGTCGGTGATACTCGACACGCGCTTTCCGTTGCATCTAAAGCTTTAAATGAGTTCACGGGATATTCCTCGGTGGAGAATATGAAAGAAAAGGTGATTCAACAGGGTAATCCACATCTGACCTTTTGTTTATACTTTTATTCTTGCAATCAAATGCGTGTGTAAACGAAATTAATTGTTCCGATTCTTTTACGAAATATTGGTTTTAAATTATTGTAATAGAAAAGGATTTCATGGCCACACGACAACGTCTGACGGAAGCAAAACATGCCTACGAAGAATCCATTGCCAGGCGTTCCGCCACGCAACGTGAGATCAATGAATTACTTCAACGCAAGCATCAGTGGTCGAACGATGACGTCGTACGGTTTACACAGTTGTACCGGGATGAACATACGAATGAACAGGCGGAAATTGCGGCCAAGGAAGATTTCCGAAAATACGAGCAGCAGGTTGAACAGGAATATACCAACCTAACAAGATCGATGATGTTGCGCTATCACGAGGAACAAGTTTGGAGTGATAAGATTCGCAGCGCTTCCACTTATGTTACAATCGCCCTGATGATGCTCAACGTAATCTTATTTATTGGTGTGCAAACCATTTTTGAACCAAGAAAAAGACAAAAGTTGACCAGTCAATTTGAGGAATTGCTTGTCAATAAGACACGAGAGGAAGAGGATAAATTAGAGAATGGTCTTTTTCATCCGTTTATTAAACGACTCGAAATGTTTGAGGAAAAGATCGGTCAATTACTACAGTTATCAACGAAAATGCTTTATAAGAGTCCCGAGAATAACACGAATACACCCGACGTGAACAATTCCGAGTTGCCCATGACAGAAGAAGAAATTAAATCCTTCATGGATGATTTTGAGAAACCCGTGGATGACAGCCAGCGTGCGAGGAAGCCGGTCAAATTGACACGAGATGAATTCGACAATATCATACTTATATCCGCTCTTCTGGGTGCATCCATAGGTTTACTTATCAGCGTCATGGTAACCGAGATATTCAGCAGATGACAACATGGAATCGATCACAAACATCAAATTACGATCGGAATGGTTCAAGTTTTAGTGATAGACCGCTCCTCCGAACCAGGCTCGGTCGTCTTGCGTCGATTACATTCTGTCGTTCGCCGAGATCACAATTGGTGTTTGTAGTTAGGGTCTAACTATAAATAATACCATTGATTGCTACACTTCTTGAGTACATAATAAATAGGCCATTTACACCGCCGAGCGAGAGAATTATAGTTTTTTTTTTTTTTTTTTTTTTAACCGTTTAAAATCGATTCCTGATCGATTTATAACCGATTAAAGAAAATTTTCACCACGTAACAAAACGTCCCCCAAATCCCTTTTCTTTGGTTGTGCTGTTTTTTGCTCAATGAATCAAAAATCGTTCCACGCGCGCTCCATAATGTGCTCCTTCTCACGACTTTCCTTCATCCGTATTAAATGATCTCTCACCATTGTCAACCTTTCAATTGCAGTTTTGTGATGACCACTTTCGCTTGTGGAATCCTTCCCGCTAACAATCTCGTCTTTCGCTTCTTTAATAAAATTTCTCAAAAAAACGGGAAGCCCATACACGTCATGAGTGTATCTCGTTTGCTTCAGGTACGTTACGATATCCGGCGCATCCAGGAAATCGTTCACGGCAGCTGATTCCAATAGCATTCGCGAAGAAAGTTCTTTATGGTGATCAGCAGGATCGTAAATTTCGCTGGTGTAAAAATTGAGATTTAAAAATCTTCGAACCTCATCGCCATCATCTTTTTGCTCAAGATCGGCGGCACCTTGCCTATAATGATAGTCGGGCACGCCTATGAAGTTATTTTCAAAATTGTCAATCGAGTTTTCCCAAAGAACCCATTCCAGATCTTCGACCGTTTGTGGGCCGCGAAATCCCACTTTACTAGAGTGCGATGGTAATTCGGAATGCTTCACAACTTCGGCGTACTCCTTCATGCGCGCAACTGAAGCAGCCGGCGTAAAAGAAGAACCACCTTTTGAGGCGTTATCGATTCTACTCATCAGTCCGGATAATTCCATTTCGACACCGCTGGTTCCTCTAGAAATATCCGAAAGCAAATTGGCGGAGGATGACACAATGTTCGCCAAAGATTTGCCCTTGTCTACAGATGACTTTTGAGTATCAGGCACCTTTCTCTCCTCCGACATAGTGTGCATGCGGTACGAATCAAATACTGTCTTTTTTTTTTTAAATGTCATGAACCGACCAATCAGAACGGAGACGATTCATGCACAAAAAAATACCGCCTCAGAGTAAATTAACGTGATTTTGCGATCAATCATGTTCATACCTCGAGCGATCAAGAGAACCTCCACCACTCCCTCGAAACCAAGCAAAAAACCAAAGACAGCAAAAGAAGAGAATACAGAAATAACAAATGCCATTCTTTCAGAAACAATCCCAACTGCTTCGCAAGTAAAACCAGATGCGTCGGGGGAAGATGTCGCTATTTTTCAACGTTCGTCAAAGAATTCCCCTGAACGAGGTTTCCATTCACTCGAGCTAGCCGTTCTACCGGAGATCAGAGACTTTTGCGAGCAACCGACTCACCTTCACCACGAACAAACAAGCGGTCCAGAAGCTGAAACCGGGGGTAAGCCGGTCTCACAGAATGATCAGGATGCAGTTAAAGAGTACAGCCATCAACAGCGCACACCTTTAAACGGAGAACCTGTCTGCGTGGTTTGGTACGACCAAGTCTTTGTTGGACTGTGAAAGAACGCAGCTGATTTTTTATAATCCATTCAAACTTCAAAAATTTTTAGCGGAAAATATGGCGAGTACATTTGTGATGAAACTGATCGCGACGTTTGTAGCAGGGAGTGCAAGAGAATAGACATAGAGCGAACGAATATGAATGCATCTAGCCGTTCAGATTCAAATACGGAAGAACGAGTCGTATCCTTGAATAATGCGGTACAGGCGCACTTTCAAACGTGCCCTAATATTTTTCATGCGCAACTCACTTCATATATTCCTCATCCTGAAATAACTAAACTTTCAGAGATTCAAGTGAAATCCTTGTTGATAAAAAATCGAATCATTGCTCAGGGTAAAAATATTCCACGCCCTATCACGAGTTTTGCATATTGCAATTTACCGTCAACCTTGTCTAACAATATATATGAGGCTGGATACGTTCAACCGACATCAATACAAATGCAGGTCATCCCCGCAGCGTTGCTTGGTCGTAATGTGTTGGCCAACGCACAGACCGGATCCGGCAAAACCGTGGCCTTCTTGATTCCGATAATCGCGCATGCTTGGTCGTTATCTCAGTTCCACAAGGGTGAAGGAGGTCCTTATGTGGTGATTATGGCACCCACAAGGGAGCTGTGCATGCAGATCGAAGATCAAGCAAAAAAGTTGATAAAGGGTTTGGTCAATATGAGGACGGCTCTTGTGGTCGGTGGATTACCGATGCCCAATCAAGTTCATCGCCTTAAGAAAGGGGTGCAAATAGCCATCGTTACCCCCGGGCGATTTCTGGACGTAATTAATCAACACGAAGAGCTCAACATGAACAACATACACATCCTTGTCATAGATGAAGTTGACATGATGTTCAAAATGGGATTTGTAAAACAGGTCACCGGAATATTGGAAAAGATGCCTTTGTCTTCGACAAACGCATACCGTCAGACCCTCATGTTTTCTGCAACGATTCCGGAGAATGTTGAGAGGCTCGCAAATTCGATGCTTCGCGATCCCATTCGTATCACGATCGGCGATCACTCTAGAAAGGATTCAATTTATGAAGGAGGTTCCAAGAATTCTCTGCCGATCATTCCGGTGAAACAAACGATACTTTGGGTGGAGAATAAGTCGAAGAAGAAACAATTGTTCTCACTTTTAAACGATCCAAAATATTTTAGGCCACCGATAGTGGTTTTTGTGGAATCCAAGTTGGGAGCAGATTTATTATCTCAAGCGATCGAAAAAAAATGTGGCGCAAGGTCCTTGAGTTTGCATGGTGACAAACCGCAGGTGGAGAGAACCCGAATTCTCCAATCATTCTTAAACGGAGAATTTGAAGTAATTGTGGCCACCGGGATCTTAAGTAGAGGATTAGATTTACCTGATGTCAACATGATAGTGAACTTCGACATGGCTTCAACGGTCGGTGAATATGTTCATCAAGTTGGTCGCGTCGGAGGCGTGACCAATCAAGGTTGGGCGATCACTTTTATCAATGAGGTACGAAAGAAATTTTGATGTTAACTGGCGAACGAGGGAGGTATCCCCGGTCTCAAATTTTTTTTTGCATAATTCACGTTTAGGATCATAAAAATCTTTTCAAAGAGTTTGTCGCTATGTTGAAAGCACAGCCTTCAGGTCGGGTAACACCTTTGCCGTCTAAGTTGCTCACTCACGGATATACTCTATATGGAAATAATAAGGGAAAGTGAAGGACGTTTATAATTTCAGGATTTTCCAATGATTGAATTTTCCTCGGCGATAGATTTTCCCGAGGTAAAAAAATAAATAAAAATAAAGAAAAACTCTCTTCTCCGGTGCACTATCAATTTTTATCACCCCAAGATAAATTTAGTTCGCCGAATATTCGCGTAACGACTCATTCAATTTAAAGAATTATCTCGGTAAAATAATGACCAAAATTGTGTGAAATGCCAATGAGAATGATGACAATAATAAAGATTTCATCAATCATGACTTCAGTTCTTTACATGCAATATCTTTTCACAAATGATCTCCGACGCGGCTTTTAGTTGAGGGTCTGAAGGGTAATAAGCTGCCGAATAGAAAATGTTGAACAATTGGAAATTTTTGGAGTACATCAGCCACATACATTTTTATCAACCCGCTATTAACTTTAGTCCAACTTGGCACCCCCGAGATGTCGTACAGCAAAGGAGAATGTTCGTGAAAGGGCCCCCTTTTGGTCTGGTCAAAGGGATGGAGACAATGAGTCTTTGAGGAATTATGTTTGAAGAGAAGAATTATGAAATGTGAACCTCGTGAATGTATTTGATACAGCCGAAATATATGTATTCACTTGAATTCTCGTTCACCAGATCGCCTGATAATATGGACTTTGGCTCCAGATACTTGTGATCTAAAAAAAAGATGCCGACATATACAATTATTCTCGGCGGTTGCTTGAGTAAGAAAGCGGTAGGCGCGAACATTCGAACCTCTCAGTTGGGCACTCCCCCAATAGTACGACAGGAACTGGTGATCATCCAATCCCCAAACGCCATGACTACCCGCCGGTTCCAACATGTAAACGCGCTGTAGGCGTCTCACGAGATCCAGGTATCTTGAGGCGATTCGATTTTTGTTGAAGAAAAAAAGAAAAAAGAAAAAATATATATTCGCATTCAAAATTAAAGGTCAAACGATTAATTCAGTTGAACGCTTTAACATATATATACGCTGTAAATACTCTCAGCACCAACGCCGTATTATCTTGCTCTCGAAGCGCGCCCAACAAACTCAAACAGCATAACCATGCAACGAAACTGAGTTCATGCCCACTACCGTAGTCGATACGTGTGCCATTCCCAAAACTACCCACGAGGTATGGTACGAGTTCAACAATCGCACTGTGATACTGAGACGGAAGAATGTTTTGGTGAATGGTGACAGCATCCTAAGGAAGAGAACGAGTCGGAGGGAACAATTAGCCAAAGCTTTTTTTTTCCTTCAGTGTCGCGGTCAAGTGAAATTTCCCGCCAATAACTTTGCCCACCTTTTCCAATCGAGCAACCCATTCCCTAAAAGCCTTATTACCGAATCTCTGAGGTGTTGGCAATGGTGGGATCTCCTCGACCCACAACTTCAGGGTGTTCAAAGAATTGATTATTTTTTGTGGAAGCTATACTTTGATCAAAAGAGGAGTCAGATGCCGCCTAGGGGAGAAAAGATGTTCAGGAGAAATGCGGCCGGTATACCTCGGTAACCAAACAGGGATCCGATATCTTCTTGTTCATAACACTTTCATTCAGGTTTTCAATGAACCGCATTAAACGCGAGAAGGCCTCTGAGTTGATCCACGCTACGACGTCTTTCTCGTCGCTAATTTTTTTCGTGGATTCAACGAAGGCGTGATCAACTAATGGAATTTTGTTGGTGTCCTCTGCCATCAAATGGTTGCTTATATAAATGGAATTTCCGTATCGTATCCGAATTTAACTTAACATTCTTCCGTTATTGGTAACCACGTGAATATGCAAAATAGTGGATTTACACTGCATAAAACAAACACGAATGCAAAATGATATCATGGTTTAGAATCTCAATGTTGTTGGATCGCATTCTCGACTTCAAAGAATCCTCTGGATTCATAATCATAGAGGACACGATCTTACAGTCGGGTCGCCTATTGTTGAGAGAATTTGTCAAGAGGGCAACTAAAAATGAGTAAGAAGGAACTAACAAAAATTTGCAATTCGGAATCGAAAGGTCTTCCACATTTAATATTTTGAATTTTGATTAGCAAACGCAATGTGATATTTCTCTGCATCGAGTCGTCTCCTCAAAGTATTCTCGAAAGCGCGTCAATCCCCAAAAAGTACTTTTCTGCTTACCTGAATCGGATTAATCAAAATATTAACGAATTTGCTTTATCGACAGAATCGTGATTCTTGACGCGTACACTCGGTTAGGAGCGTATGAGAATAATGATGAATCGGTCAGTCCCAATGTACACGTCATAAAAAACTTGGACGACATTTCCGAGATTGCTGCACTTATTCAAGAGCACATCGGCAAAGGCATGTAATTTTATCATTCTGAACCAGAATGATTCAGTCTAATTTACACACGCATGACAATTCAAAATGTTCGCACGAGATACCTCTCTATATTTACTTATTTATTGCGACACCAGATTCCACCACGGTGATCATCGAGTCGTTGGCGCCCCTGCTTTTAATTTCTGTATCTTCTACGTTGACTTTTTTAAAAAAAACATTAAACTTGCTGGCATCCTCAGGTATCACCATCGTAACCACTCTCTTGCGTTCTTATCCCATCTAGCGAGATTATCCTAGAATTCATATTTCCTTGTGAACCAAACCACCAGAAACCAATCCAGGTCGACTGATAACCATATACCATTCGGACATTCCGGTTCACTCCACGGGAGGAACCGTGGGGCTGCTAAATGTCCGTAGTGCTCTCGTACACCAGTATGCAACCACGACAATAACCGTCAAAAATATTGAACAAAGTAACAAACATTCGATTCGAGGATACTCTGAAGAATCCGAAAAATTGGTGAATTCGTGGATGAACTCTCTTGATCGTGGAATGTGCGCAATAGAACACAGAAAGAGATCTGGAAAGGTCCTTTACGAGGTATATTAATATAATACACATATTAAAGTTTGAGAAGATGATTTTTCGGCACACGGAACCGATCAAATTATTTCTATATTCGTAAGACAAACATATATCACACGGACGAATCCACTGCCGAGCTGGTAATTCAACATGAAAAGAATGAGCTTGTGAACAAGGATGTCGACATAGTGAGTGAGGGAGCATCATTGAGGATTTCAAATCTTTACACATCGGTTGTATTAAATCTCGCAAATTTCCACGAATAGCCAGATCCCACAACAGCCAATTTACTATTCAATCTAACACTGACGAAAGAACAGAAAAAGGCGAAAGACGAAGTCATATTACCACACGTTAAGATTCAAGGTGAGAATGCATGAGCTTTATTAAACAAATAAATATATTTTTTTTTCTTCCTTCATAAATTGCCATTGAAAAAAAAATTATACAGATCAATATGAAGAAAAAAATGTCCCCGCTTCTAGCGGCGGATCCATCTTTTACGAACCGGATGATGCCGATGATTTTGATGAGGAGGACCCTGATGATGATTTGGATATTTGAGTTGTGGCAATTCCTGATAACAGATTGGTAATTCGAGTTCCGTGTAAAAAGAAAGAAAAAGAAAAAAAAACCAATAAAGGATCATCAAATCTTATAGGCAAACTCTTTTATTGGAAGGTAGGAATTCCCTCCTCCCGTTGAACCCTCTTTCCGAACTAAACGACTCGCACTTCAGTAGTTCCATTTCCACTTTTCCGTTATTTACGAGTAACTTCAATATGGACTTTGTCACAAAGAGTGTTAGGTGTCTGCTTCCCCGATCATCTACCTTGATTAAATGAGATAATTTATCAACGTTGTTCAGTGCATCCAACGAAACCTTTATTCCATCAATCTCGAATGCACAAGCATCAGGTGTTTGGATGGCCGTCACAATATCCTCGGATGCTTTAATCGATTTGGCTATGTCTCTAAGTTTCTTGGTGTCCTGTTCGGACAACGCCAGCTCTACTTCAAGGCGAATAGGTGACATTCGATTCGCTGTGATCCTGGGCGTGGTAGGTCCGGTCGGAGTTGTTGAGGCAGTAAGCGGAGATTGCAGCGTAGTGTAATGACAGATGAGGTGTAGATTATGCACCTCAACCAACAGGGCGTGCACAGCTCCCTCCTTATTCTTGTACATTACGTGACCGATCTTTTCGGCGGGAATGACGTTGCCTTTGTCCATCAACATTTCATCATTTTTATTCTCTGACAAAAAGATACTGGATAACCTGATATCCCTTAATTGAAATAATATTTCGTTCCTGGCGCCCTCATCCTTTGCAAATCCGTTCACAGTCAAGGTCGACGCCAATAGTTTTTCGGTCAACCCTTTCAAGTGATAGAAACGCGAGTCTTTAAGCAAGTTTTGCCTATGCACTTCATCCTTGATTTTAATGTCGTATCCTTGGAGGTACCGTAGAATGTCAGCAAAAAGCTCCGGATCGCGATCGAGAATGGGAGGCGGTAAGGCCGGAGGAGTCGCAATTAGCGGGGCAGCCGCTGGGGGGTCCCAACTATAACTGAAACCTTGGAAAACAATCAAGATTACATTTTGTTAAAGATTGCCTTAAAGAGAAATGCGAGCATGATTGAGTGGTATGTATAAGAATATTAACCGAAGGATGTGAAAAAGTTTGGAGCGTCTCGTTTTTCCAAAACTTCACGTTCGACGCGAAATACTTTCCCACCAACATTTACTACACAATTCGCTTTCAATTGAGCTTTTAATTTCGGCAAACTGTAATACATAGCATCGACGTATAGGTCCGAGAAATGAACCTACTTTCGTTTGAGGGTACGATAATGAACATAAATTCTGTTCGGCACGACCACGAGATAAAGTTAAAGGATGCGTAAATACCTCGTCTCGAGGTGTGATATAGTATCCTTGTAAATGCCTCACCTATTTGAAAATGAACAACGGTTATATTTCATTGTCATAAATTTTAGAAAATGAATTTCGCCGATTTCGGCGACAAGGTACTCACAATGTCCGAAAAGATGACAGGGTCTCTCTCGATATACATGGTCTTGGTCATCGCCTCTTCCAACGAGGAGGAGAACACGTGGGTGAAATGGTTAGGGGCGTCCGAGTACAGGGCCCTGGTAGATAATTTGAAGGTCTTATCACCCACAACCAAAGTGTAGTAACCGGTAGACGGAGTGAAATTTCGCGACAGATCTGACATTGTTCAGCATTTGCCTCATGGTAGATGGTAGGTGCGGTGCGTGCGCTATAAAACTCACCGTATTGCACGTGACAATAGAAAGTGGGTGTGTACGTAAGCACACGCAATAAAATGCGATACGCATATACAGTATAATAAATTATCTGTCTTTAATCAGATAAAAAATAAACCGATTTTCCTTTACCTGACTTCGTCGCATCTCTTCATTTCAAAGTTGAAATAAAATGTCCAACTGTTCCTCTGACGAAGAGTTTGAAAAGCTCGAGCCCACCTTGCAAAATGTTTTAGATCAGAAATCTTTGCATTGGATTTTTGTGGGCGGAAAGGGTGGTGTCGGTAAGATCCAAATCGAGTACCTGCGATCTCACTTTACGCCCCGGGCGCAATGTGTAAGCCTCAAATATCTTGTGTCCTGAAATAACTCGAGTCTATTGAATTGCCGAAACAACAGGTAAAACGACAACCTCCTGTTCCCTGGCTGTGCAGCTGAGCAAAGTGCGAGAATCCGTTTTGTTGATATCCACCGATCCGGCACATAATTTGAGCGACGCCTTCGGGCAAAAGTTTAGCAAGGAGGCTACATTGGTGGATGGGTTTACAAATTTGTTCGCCATGGTATCACGGATCATAAATTACTATCGTTTTCCGCCTGTCAAGAACAAATAATGATGACAATTCTTAAAAAAAACCTTTCTCGCAGGAAATCGATCCGACCTCATCAATTCAAGAGATGTTGGCTCAAAGTAAATGTTTCGACGTATTATTGTTTTAATTGGATGGTGTACATGTGCACGTCGTTATTAAAAAAAAACTCCCAATTTTCCCAAAAATCAGACGACCAGCATGTCATGGGATCCATGATGCAAGATCTCGCATTTTCCATCCCGGGTGTTGACGAAGCGATGGGATTTGCGGAAGTCATGAAGTAAATGAAAAAAAAAAAATAAAATAAAAAATTCCAATTCCTTTGTTACCATATGCTTAACAATCTGAAAAAATCAATTAAAAACACATCATCAGGCAAGTAAAAACGATGGAATACTCGGTGATCATCTTTGACACAGCACCCACTGGACATACCTTACGATTTCTGAGCTTTCCCGGTGTGTTGGAAAAGGCATTGGAAAAGATTTCGCAATTGAGCGGACGGTTTGGGCCAATGTTTCAACAAGTAAGAATGCATAGGGAATCAATAAGAAATAAGTACGGAAGGAGACGGTTTAAACCAAATGGTCTCATATTAAATGCATTTCGGTCAAACATTAGATGTCCGGAATGATGGGCCTCAACGCCAATCAGGAAGACATGTTCGGAAAACTTGAGGGAATGCGAGCTATTATCACGGAAGTTAATAATCAATTTAAGGATCCTGTAAGAAACATTCGAATTCAATGTTTGGGGATGATAAACAATTTTCTAATTCCTGACGCCCTTTTCATGCTAACCTAGGACAAGACGACGTTCATCTGCGTTTGCATTCCCGAGTTCTTGTCTCTTTTCGAGACGGAACGTATGATTCAAGAGTTGACCTCATATCACATTGACACTCACAACATCGTGGTAAATCAACTACTGTTCCCACAAAAAGGTGAAACTTTGTGCGCGCATCGCCAATAATTATTTTGCTTCGTGCTTTCGATCGTCTAACTTGTTGGCTCCCTCAATATCAGGTTCAAATTGCGAGCACTGCTGTGTAAGATATAAGATGCAGCAAAAATACCTAGATCAAATTTACGATCTTTACGAAGATTTCCACATCGTGCTGATGCCACTTTTGACAAAAGAGATACGCAAGACGGAAGACATCAAGGAATTCTCGAAAATGTTGATCGAACCATATGTACCACTAGATCACGAATCGATGGATGATAGTCAATGAGGGCGAAAGCGAAGATCGTAATGAGGCGTGTGAGGTTTGCCCAAGCAGTCTAAACTGGTTGACGAGAAATCAGACGCGTCATCAGTTTCTATTTTTTTCTTTATCAATATTGTGAATGTAGAAATTTTTGAACGAATTGGTAATATTTGTTTCATACAATGATATAGAATCAATTATAGCACGTTAAGATCGTTACATCAATCAAGATTAGTTGAAAAACTGTTTGCACAAAAATTCCCGACAACTGTGTATGTATCTGGTTTTTGTGATAAGAAACAGTAATAATTCTTTTAATTTACGATAATGCAATAAAACATTAATAAAATCTTGACCTAATATGTAATAGAGGTGACCTGACTTTTTAAGATGCAACGTCAGAAACTTTCGAAATTAAAATATACTGCATATTCAACATATACAGTATACACATCAAGGAAACAAATACAAATAACATTGATAACTTTTTCATTAAAAAAATGACTTGAACCAATGCCGAGCTTTGAACTCAAGATCGAAACAAACTCCTGACGCATCTCGGTTTGAAGTTGGTTCCGAAAATCCGTCAGTGCACGAGACAACAACTAACGGATGAGAATGTATAAGCGATAATGTAGTATGTAGTGACACGATTCCTGAATACCATACAGAAACAAAATGTACCAATTAAATTCACCCGTGTGAAGCCGATATTAACGATTTGCGGGGTAGCCTTAATGTACAATTCGAATCGATAAAAAAAAGAAAAATAAAAAAAAAACGTTAAATTGCTTGTGAATTTGTTTATTTTCCTTATATGTAAAGGGATCTGAAAACCGTTATGTTAAGGGGAGAATGAACCCATCGTTGCAGAGAGGAAATTTTGTAAAAAGAATTCGTTGGAAGAATCAAGAATGCAGGAATCTGTAGTAAGAAGATAGAATTAGGAGAACGTTACGTTTTAAACAACAGCACAAATTCAATTTTCTGCAACAATGGTTAAGTAAAACAAGAGTACAAATCAAAACGTAGTCCAATGAAATGAAAATAGAACTGTTAACTCGACTTTGATAAAAAGTTACCAACATTCTAGCATAATGATATACAATAAATCAAAAATTAATAAGCGATAACGCATAATTTCCTTTGCACAGAAGCGGAATTATAAATAAATGATGTCCTCCTAACATGTCGAGAGTAAAGGTTGATTAACGAAAAAAAAAAAAAATCAAACCATTATTTACGAAACAAGAACTTATTTTGGCTGGCACCAAGATCGTTCGCTTTGTTAACGAACAGTCAGTGAATTTTGAGGTGAATTCTTCTGACCCACGATTTTCCGGAGGAACGCAAGTGGAAACTCTTTTTCGACGTTCGAAGGATCCGCAATCAGTAATTACTGCTTTGTAAGCCAAAAAAGGAAATAGAAGGTTGTTCCTTTATTATATAAAAGCCGTTCCGATCGGATTCTCGACATCCATCCCACTTCTCAAAATGTCGTCTTCTCATCTAATGACTCAAACCGCAACCGAAAACTTCAACAATTTCATTCACACCCCCCCGGCCAACTCATCCACCGGAGCCTCCCCGGTCAACGTCAACTCTTTATACATCATGACACGTAGAAAACTCATCTTTGGCACATGCAAAGGATGCGGAAAGCCGAACGATAGATTCAACGAATGTAACTCTTGCGCGGATTGGATTAATCAACAGATGGCTTATCTCAAACAAATGGAGAATTTAATTGAGATAAGAAGATTGAGGATCTGCGAACAAAAGTTAATGTGCAAATTTGGAGACGATAAAGAGGATCCGAAAAAAATGTGACGAATAAAATGTTAAATGGGAAATAATAAAAATTTGTAGTGAGGTCACATAGTCTATATACTGTATAATACTTATTCCGATATTTATTAAATTAATAAAGTTCTTGCAATTGAAAATTAATATAATAATAAATATTGTTATTCTAAAAAAATATATATTTTTTAATTTTTGCAATACCCACAGCCAGGCTGACTGTAAGTACAGTACAATTCATTCGAACAGCATGAATAAAACTCTTTTAATTTATTACTAATAGATTGTTATTACCATATATATATCTTATCAAGTCATTGAAAAATGGATTAAAATACAAAAAAGCATAATACTAGTCAAAATTACTGTATATCATTTGATAGTCAAATTATTACCGAATTTGATAAAAAATTTTGATACAAAATTCAAGAAAATTTTGATATACTATATGAAAAATTTTATACTGTGGAAAAAAAATTTTTTTTGTATATTGTGGCAAAAAATTTAACAAAAAATTTGATATTGCAATAATATTGTAATTATTTAACATAAAATATTTTAACAAAAAATATCTCTTCAAAATATCAAATATAATCATATATATTTATTCTTTTTTTAGTAAGGTTTCCCAAATCAATATTACTTTTTTCAAGTAAATAAACTTTTATTTTTTAATTATATCTATTAATTCATTCTGATATTTGATAACTTTCTTAATCTTCATTCAATAAATGACTGTATACTTTTAATTCTTCATGTTCTTTTTTTAATTATTTATTAAAAATTAATACTTGAAAATAGTATAAATATAAAATATTATTAATCTTACTTTGTTTAATCAATTATTTATATATAAGTGATGATTGTTCACTTCCAGTTTTTCAGTTTCTATCTTTTAATATCTTCCTCTCTAATAATGATATAAAGCATCTAACTATTCGTTTATTTATTTTTATGAGGGATTAAAATATGAAATCATGGATTTTATTAATTTAGGTATCAACTTTTATAATATTTTTTTATTTATATCACTTGAAAAAATTTTATTTTTCCTTAATTTATATTTATCAGAAATAGTTTTTATTAGACCTTTATTTTTGTTTTTGCTTTTTTTTGATTTTGACATATTTTTAATAATCAATTTTATCAGTTTTATCTTTTTACTACTTCTCTTGGGTTGAATTCATCAGTACTTTTCTAAATTCAATGAACTTTTAGATTTTAATATCTCGATTGTTCTAGATTCTTAATTACTATAAATTCAAATTCAAGTTTTATAGATTTGAGCCAATCAATTTTCTTCTTTAAATCTTCTATTTTATTTTTTTGTTATTTTGATTTTATGGAAAACTAGTTATTAATATGCTTCATTAGATCTAATTGATTTACTTTCTCTTTCTATTTTTTTGATCCATACATATAATTTTTTGTTTTTTAAATAAATCAATTAATTAATAAAAGTAAATTTTAATAATTCAATAATAATTTAATTCTAATCTTTTTTAATATTCATCCTAGTTCAAGTTTTAAGTATCAATTCAACTTTCAACATTAATATTTATATAACTTTAGATACCAATATTTTAGGCAATACAATAGATACCCTTCTTTTAAGCAATTTGACTAGCATAATAGAGATTAAAAATTCAAAATCAAATATTATTAAACAAATTGTTATCACTTCTGATATAATTGATAAAAAAAAGTTTATAATAATAGGAAAGATTGTGGAAGTAAAGGTAGCTATTCTCTATAAAAAGTATACTCAGTTGATTTTTTTGTTCAAATCTTTTAGATATATTAGTAAAAAAAATATTAAATTAATAAAGAATTATTTAAATAAAATTATTTATATTATTTTAATACAATTTGAAGTTACAAAAAAAAAACTCTTTTTGCTAATTCCCATTTTTTCAGAAAATTTTCTTTTTTTAATAATTTTTTTTGAAAAAAGAGAAGTCAGTCCAAAAAACAAGAGAAAACTAATATCAAAGACTATCCACTTACAAGAAATACTATAAAAACAATTAGTTACAGTACAGGAACCAGTAAGTACTTAAAAACTTCTAATCTTTCTATACAAAATTTTTCTTTTTTAGAAAGAACAAACAAAGATAAAAACTAAATTACAATAAGCTCTTGAAAGCCCAACATCAATCTCACAAAGCTCTCAGCCAAGCCAGTACAGGTTAATACCTTTATAGATATCAAAAGGAACCTTACAAGCAATAATTTAGACTGATAAATTAGTTTAAATTCAAATATCAATAAAATTCAAAGGGATATCCAAACTTTATTAACTATACAGTAAAGAAGTATATACATCACAACAAACAAAATTTCAATAAACACAATGTTATATAAATATATATACAGTATGTATATTTCCTTAAAAAAAACAAGATCACAAAGATGTGTCTATATAAATAATGTTTATAGATTATCTACATATTTATGGTAAATAGATTAATAATACTTATATTTTCATATATTTATAATAAGTTAATCAATAATAACAACATTATTATCATTATAAACACATAAAATATAATCTAAATTCACAATATAACAATTTTAAAGTTTTTCTGCATTATCAAATTAGTAACAAGAAATAAACAAACCTTTATTACATATTAAAAATGACAAAACACAAATTTATCCTATTAATCTGTAATATATAATAAGCACAACAATATAAATAACACTAAAATTACTATATATTATAAAAAAACACAAAATTTATATTCTAAAAGTCCTGATCCACTTATCAAACAAGTATTATCAAGAAAAAAAACCATGACAATACAAACAATCTTCAATACAATCTCTATACAAGAAAACAATCCTAATTCAATCTCCAATTCTATAAAATATTCAATTTTAGATAGCATTATAGCTAAAATTCTTAACATTGATTGCATCACTTTCACTAAAGCTACAATTAAAGACAACATATTCTATACTTATGAACTCAAGGACAAGAAAATGAAAATGATTTGTTGGCCCTCTTCTTGAAAAACAAATATATGGAATTGATAAAACAAGAAAAAAAATATATATTGGCAATAACAAACAAAACAAGAAAACATAGTCACAAATAATCCATATTCAAGTTTAACAAAACCATTAACTAAAGAAGCAGTTATAAAATTCAACCAATATATACAATAAAAGTCTCTAACAATATTGAAATAGAAATAGATAATAAAGAGATTAAGGATCAATTGAAAATAGAGAAAATTCAAGAAAAAATTAAAAGAGACAATAAAATAGAGCTATAATCCTACAATACTAGAAATAGATCAAAAGCAACAAGTATTAATCCATTTCACATTATCAAAAATAAAACATATAAACTGGAAATTTTAATATCCAGAATACTAGAAGAAAGTGAAAAAAAAAGAATAGCATATCTCCAAAATGCTCTTAGCCTATTAAAGGACCTTCAATTATATACAAAAGAATTTCTTAATAGTAATATAGGAACAATCTTTACTTTCGAAGAAAAAGAAGATACTTTGAATTATTTAAATAAAGTCAACAAAAAAGTAGATAAGAACTTTATGATAATACTCATAAATACAAAAAAATGAGAAAGTTAGAATTTCTACCTGATAAAAAAATCTTTAGAAAAAAAAACAGAAGGAGAAAACAAAAATCTATTTGTAATTCTAATTGATATAGATCATAGTAATATATAACAAGATATATCAAACCGCATTCAAGACAACTGGATCAGACTGACATTAGAAGCAATATTAGAGTGAACTGATATACAACATCTGAGGAAGACTCAGAAACCGAGAGTGACTTCAAGAAAAAGATAGACCTGGGAAAGAGAGAAAAAGGGAAAAGACGCAACTCCCAAGGCAACAAACG